ATATATATATATATATATGTGTGTGTGTGTATATATATCTAGGCCTGGTGATATGAAATTGTATTTTTCAATGGTTCTGGCTGTCCTTGATGCACCATCAAGACTGAAATGGTCACGTTTATCTTTTCAAAACTCAGTTTCTCTTGAATGCAGCATAATTAAATAAAGTTTTTGGTGGATATATTTGGTGGATATCATTGTCTTGAAAAGTCACAAACTAATTCAAGTGTTTCAAATTAACTTCTTTTTGGTTTCATGATGTTGAGTGCATATATCCACAACATTTCTCTGAGTCAACTTCTTTAAAAGGACCCCTCCATGAAAACGTGTTTTAACCTTGACGTTTTTTCATTCCATGCCAGTTTAAGAATTGGATCTCCAAAAACACAGGCGTTTTTTTTTTTTTGGACTGTTTTTAGAGTCTCAAGGTTGGTGGTCTGATGATCTGATAGGTTTTCTGCTTAGTGTCAGCTACATTGCTTCCTGTGTTCTTGAGGCTAGATATACCCTTGAAAAAAAAAACCACCATAAAAACCTATATCCTTATTGGGCTTTACAAGGATGAATTAACATATTATCAGACTGATTTTAAATAGTAAGTAAAATTGGGTGTTTTGTTGTCTCATGCTGTCAGCTAACAGTACACGGCTGTCTTTAACACCTTAATAAATAGTTAAGTTAATTTAGCAGCATTAGTGAAAGCAAATGTCTTAATTACAAACAGTTCAGATAAAAATCCTTCATGGATCTGAGCTCTACCAGCCATGTGGACCCACTTTGTCTCTATAATGGCAGGAGAAACAGTTTGAGTAATGTGGAATGGCTCTGTAAGTGTCCCCTGGTAAAATGATCTTCTTTACTCTCCTGCAGCCCCAGTCAATGACAACGATTAGCTATAGCCTCCAGTGCTGACTTTATCCTCAAGGTTAGATGTAGCCCAGAGCCTATACAATTGCAATGGAACAGAGAATTGTTTGATAAAAAAAAAAGTTGAATTATTGTTGAATTTATCTCAATTTTGTGGATTTTAAGACAGTTAGTAAGACAATATAAATGTAAAGCCTATTTTGTCAGGATAAGAAGTAAATGGTAAACATATGATCATGTGAATAACTGAAAATACAGTGGCAACATTTTGATGACTGAACATTCACAGGAAAAAATACCATACTAGATTTCCCAGATTAATATAAAATACATGATAATTTCAGGATTATTCAGAATTATGTGTGAGTTTATGGTTTGACAGAGCAACCAAAACCATCAGCCTAGTCCATAGGAAGTTGTAACACATTATTTCAACTATTTTTTGAAATGTCATTTACTACTAATACTAATAGATAACAGATTGTTTCTTAAATAGTCAATGAAAATACACTATTTATAATACTCACATGTACCTTGTTCCTATATTTTTAAAATATTTTGATGGAAAAAGTCTTAATTTGAGTATTGCAAATGCAGTTAAGTAATAAAGATGCCCTGGCTCCTTTTGCACCCTTTTCTTACCCTTTCCTCAACTCCTCTCTGCTGCACTCCGCATCTCCTACACTCTGCCTTTCTCTGACTCCCACTCTACTCCTCCACTGCCCCCTCCTCCCTTTACTGTATCCCCTCCATCTCTCTTCTCTCACCCTTTCTCCCTCTCTTTTCTATGCCTCTCTATCAGGAGAAGAAGAGAGGCTCCCCAGAGGGACTGTGGTTCGTTCCCGCTGCCGCCTACACTGGCTTAATGAGGAGCCTGCGGGAAGGGGTGAGTGTCTCTGTGTATGTCTGCATGTGTCTGTTTGTCTGTGCCTGTGTAGCTGTGACTAAGTCTCTCTCACTGTGTGTGTGTGTGTGTGCGCAAGAGTGTGTGGCAGGGGATCCCTGTGAACTGTAATGATGAGGCAGCTGTGGGGGCCTAAAGCGTTGTTTGCCAGCTGCAAGTCAAGGGCATGCAGAGCAGTCACACACACACACACACATGTGCGCATTCGCACTCTTACCTGCATCAAACACAACCCTTTACTGCTCAGCAGTCTGACCTCAGCAGCAATTAGGACCCTCCAGACACACATATACAGTAGATGGAGCAGAAACACAAGTAGAAATGTAGATACTTCTTTCCTTTTTGCAATTTTTTCCTTCACTTTTTTCTTTTTCTGTCTTATTTCATCCCTTTTTCTTACTTTGCCTTTTACATTACTGTGTTTTTAAAAAAAAAAGTGAACTTATAAGACTGTAGTTGATTTAACACTAAAATAAAGATTAGAAATGGGCTTGTGCTTTTTGAAGCATGTCTATTAAGAAAGTACTCCCACATCACATAAAGAAATATACAGTGTTTTTCTTTCTAGTATTTTTACACGGTGACCTTTTCCCACGGATTAGGGACACATTTGGTAGACAGTGATATACAGTGAACAGGTAAAAGGAAAGAAGGAGATGGATGGATGTTGTTTTGTCTCTCAGGTGCAGAAAGGGTCTTGCTGTGGTGGCCCACTATAGCAGAATGAATATAGATGAAACCGGTCTGCACAGTTGTCAGCTAGTACCTACTGTTGCTTCATTACCACTGGGAGTGTAGGGGGGTAGATGAACAGAGAAGAGGTGCGTGTGTGTGTGTGTGTGTGACAGGAGCGAGGAGAGGGGTGTAGGGGAGGAGAGAGAAGGTTGACTTATTTATCATTATTGAGCTGAGAGAGTATGCTGATGGAAACACACACTACTCACACACAGCCTTAGGGACCAGACACTCATCCTAAGACCCAACCTGCCTCACTCTTTTTCCATCTCTCCCTCTCACACTCCATTTTCTCTCTCCTCCCAGTCTCCCTTTCCCTGACGAGCTGTTTTTCCAGTAGAATAATATTTGTCATCACGTTACAGAGCTGTCTATTTGGGCGAACTTTGTCTCATGGGTTTTACAATTATTGGAGAGATAGTGGTCACATTATATGGTTGGATGTTTGAGATACAAATCCTTGTTTGGGCACCTATGGGCAAAATACTTGTTTTGTTGCTTTATTTTCTTTTACTTGTTAAACAGTAAAACTTGATTAACAATTTCAGTGAAGCACTAAAACGTGTTGAATAGGTTGAGAACTGCCATGGGCTTTCTAAGCAATTGACTGAGGAGCTTTAAGTTAACTGATGTTTATAAATCAAGTTAAGGCTATATTAAAACACCTCCATATTATAATTTCCAAAATCTTTAATAAGGTCCTCTTAAGGAAAACTGAAAATGAAAAAAATTACGGTTCATTGTGGTTGCAGTAAGCTTTAGCAGTATTTTTCCACCATGCAGAGATGATGCACCAAAAAAAGTCATTAGGAGGAAACTTTACCAAGTACCCCATCACAAATGTCATGATGAAGAATACAAAGCCACATCTGGTTTAGATGTTGCTTTAACTTCAGGTTGTGCACAGATGAAGTTTCTATCTTAGCTCTTTGTCTACAACTTCTAAAAGTAGGTTTAGAGAAAAAAAATGATGCAGAATTTGACCATGAGATTTAAAGCATCCTCCTTTTTGGGACAGTTAGTGGCATATGAAATATTGAATGGATCTAGAAAACAGTTCCACTAAATATCAGAAGTTTTGGCTGCAATTGTACTCCAGTTAGTCACGTAAAGGCCTGGCAAAAACAACACAAATCTGACATGAACTGTTTAAATATAAGCAAACTAGAGATTTCTGAATGACCTTTGCAGTCTGTTTAACTATGGGAAGAGCTTAAGCCTGCCATGTGAACAAAATAAGCTAAAAATTGAAGTGTTTAATGGCTTAGCTGCGAGAAGGTTGATGGAGAGAGAGCTACAACAGGCTATTGAGTAAAGTTGAATTTTGCTTGACAGGGGTGACCTGTTAACCCATGATGAAATAGCCAAAAATAGAGAGTACACGCACCCCATATAAAAGAATGAGCTGCTCCCATGGCATCAGTGTTGTCTTAAATGTCAAAAAATGTGAATTTAGATCTAGACAGATGGTCTCTATTGATTTCTTTAAGGTTTATTGAATCCCTTACCCTAAGGAAAGCAAAGTGAAGACAATATGAGACTAGTTGACAATTCTGTCACATATAAGGCTAGATTTGGTCCAGTTTTTATATAAAAATATTGATCAGTATAGCTAATTAGTTTTTAGATGAAATATTTTTAGTAGCTAAGGCACAGAGCCAATTTGTTGGTTTTGTCAGTAGAGTGATATGGTGGAGGAAATGGGGACTGACAGAAATGAAGAAAGAAGGATCAGTGTAGTGGGGAAGGGGGTGGAGATGGCAGGGAGAAAGAGAGAAAGTTGTAGTTGGACAGGGGGAGTGGATGGCATGGAGTGAAAGGCAGGTTTCCAGGCCAGACTGAGCTACAGGAAATTATTTATGAGTCTGAACAAGATGATGCTTCAACTGCCTAAGATGAAAAGTGTATGTGTGAATATATGTGTGCGTGTGCGCATGTGTGCAAAAAAAGTGATGTGTGAACAGTATTGCAGTGATAGAAGCCACGGGGCCAAAGGCAGAACTCCCCCTGACACACATGGATCCTTACATACAAACATACATACACACACAGCGGTGGTGGGCCTATTAATGATTTAACACTATCTTCCACAAAGGAGAGGAGACCAGAGGGGGATGTCGTGGGCCCTACCCTTTTGTCTAACATAGGATGACCATTGTATATGCATGAACACACACACACACACCTAGCGTTAATGTTAGTAAATGTGTTATATAATAATGGATACTTACTCATCGTATTCTTCAGAATCCTTTTTTAGAATTAATCCCCATGTTTAATGAACAAAAAATGAAGAAAAATAGGCCAACATATGACGGAGTATAACTTAAGTTTATATTATCTTTACTTTTTTTCCCCTTTATACATTATTGTTTTTCTTAGACAATTGAGCCTTTAACTCTTTTGGGGTAAAAAAAAAAGGTTTGAAATTTGGCACAGTGATTTAGGGCACTCCTTGCTAGCTTTACAATTAGATGGAAGGTTCCTGTCTGAGTAAAAGGATCCAGATGTATCTACCTGAAATTAAAAGCTTGCAATTAAAAAAAAGTAATGTATTTTTAATGACCAATAGTTCTGCCTTAAGCACAATTAGAAACAATCACAATCTGACTTTACTAACAACATACAGAGATGTACATCGCAGTCTTTGGATGAATACACTGAATACTTACTCAGATCTCAGTCTGGAAAATCGATCCCTCCATTTATCCATGCATCCATCCATTTTCTGCTACTGCTGCTAGTAGCTACTAGTAGTAGTCGAGTCTTACGAGGCGTAGTTTAAGCAGAGAAACCCAGATCTTCGTCTCTCCACCTGGGAACACTTTGAGGTTCCCAGGTCATCCAAGAGATGTTCTCCAGCATGTCCTGGTCTGCTCCAGTGCCACCTGCTGACAGAACATGTCTGAAATTCTTCATCTCATTTCTTTGGTCAACACTCAGCACTTATAACTACTGAACATAGCTCAACTGATAAATGGAAGCTTTGATTTTACACTTGGGTCTCCCTTCACCATAACAGCCTGGCACAGTGTTGGTACTTAAGAAACTCAACAACCCTGCACTTAGGCTACTCAGTCTCAACTTGGATTGGTCACTCTGACTTGTCTTGGTGTTTCAGGTTTAAACACCATGAAACAGTTTCAACCTATTAACAGCAAAGACCTGGAGGACATCTTAGGTCAACTGAACTCCTCCT